CCCCCCACACACACACACACACACGCACAGTTTATGAATCCAATGGCACAGAAATTTCCCCCTGAAATAGGTAAACTATCATTCTTTTATTTTAGCTTTAAAATTGAGCTAAATGACAGATTACTGACTATGTAAAGAACATTTTAGATTACAGATGAGATTAGTAGTTTAGTATAAAAATAAAGGAAGAACAAAGGAAAAAAACAAGAATAGATTAAATATGGCCTGATGGCTAATATGGCCTTTATTGTTCTATATGGTTCACACTGATCACTGCTTAATTCACTCCTAAGTCCAAGCCTCCAAAACTTCTATTACCTGATGATCTTTCACATTTTTGGGAAGCAACAGGTTGTAACCAAAACAACAGCTTTATAACCAAGAACCTGCTTGTTGTGCTGTTTCCGCTTGATGCTCCCTAAGGGGAATGAAATTGCTGTTACTAGTTTGTATGAATCAGCGTTGAGTGAGATTACATGTTAAAAGTGCAGTTTTGGTCACAGGGTGAAGGTAGGTTCACAGGGAGTGAGAGGAACAAAGACAGAGAGAGGGATTTGATGGAAGTCAGTGCATCAGCAGACAGACTCCCAGCAGAAAGGCTCTTAGTTGCCATAGAAACACCAAGAGAGGAAATTAAAAAAGGTAGAGTAGGAAAAACATGTTTTTTCATGGTAACCTCTCAAAGTCTGACGTTTTGTACATTTAGTAGCAGGAAATGTTCAAATGAGGCTTAGATAATGTACAGTTGTGGGCAAAAAACACAGCAATTTGCCATTTCTGTTGTTTCACTGATGTCACACTGATGGAGAGAAGCTGCAAAACAAAAAAAACAACAAGAAAAATCCACTGTTAAGTCATATGTCCTCATAAATGGAATTCTTTTTGTGATTTTGTAACTATTTGCTGGGCAGAGACCAGCATGTGGCACTCTCCTGATCTTTAAATGGTTTGTTAAAACTCAAAGTGAAATTTCTTCATCCATGTTGTAAGGTGGGGTGAAGCAAGCGTGTAACTTAAATAACTTATTAGCATTAACTGGGAATATAGAAGTGTTTATACAGTACATGGATGCATTACAGTGTTGATTTTTCTAGGTTAATTACACTGTGCAGTAAAACAGTGAAAGCTAATTTTGAGTTGATTATTCACTTCAGGACATAATAGGCTGTCTTTATGTCACAAAATAACTTTTTTGTATTCTGTGTGTTTCTAGAGCCAGAGAATTTGGTCAGATCAGTTTATTTCAATTGTTTTTATAGTTCTAGTTTCAGTGACTGTATATGTTTTCATTTTAGTTTTCATTTTAGTTCCATTGCCCAGCCCATGGAGAAGCAACCCTTCTGTCCAGGGTTTGCTCCTTGTGCATGTCTGGATCTCTTCCAGAGATGCTGTTGTTCCTAGAAGTATGTCTGCAATACCCATTGGGTCTCCAATTCGTCAAAATCACGAGCCTTTATCTTGCATTATTTTTTAGTTGTGAGGACATCTGCAGAAGAACTGCAGGTGTGGCAAAAATTGTGTTTATGTGGCAAAAATACTACCTATTACATATTGCAGCTGAGCACACAAAGGGCATGTACCACAGCAGAGACCATTTGAGCTCAATATTTTTGGGTCTTGAACTGACGTTCAGTCTTGGACACTGCACAATCTTCCAAGAAAAAAAACCATTTGTTCTTGGAGTCATAACTGATCTTTGAGCTGCACAGTGAAGGATTTTCAGAAAGCGATCTAAAAACAATAGCAGTGCCTAGAAAGGAGATGGAACTTGAAAGGTCAAAATTAGCCAGTCAGCCTGAAATGAGGTAAAATGAGGTAGAGTTTATGCTTTATATGCATAGAATTGCTGAATTGTTTTGATTGCACCTTGCACAAAACATTTGTAGAAAACACAATGCTTGTGTACAATTTATTTTATTGAAGCATCTTCTGATTTGTTTTCTGTACCTCTCTTTTATTGTTATGTCTCACCTCACAGCAAGGAAAAACAAAAAGCTGATCAAGATGAAAGTGCACCGGGCTGGGGCATCAGAGCCCACCATTAGCAACATGCCTGTTCCAGTCGTACCCAGGAGCATGCCCCAACTCGTGCCGACCATGCTGTCCATACTGAAGGCCATAGAACCAGAGATCATCTACTCGGGCTATGACAGCACACTGCCAGATACTTCATCACGGCTCATGTCTACTCTCAACAGGCTAGGGGGACAGCAGGTTGTCTCTGCAGTCAAGTGGGCCAAGTCACTACCAGGTAACAGAAAAGCTCTTTACCATGGATTCCCTTTGGTTTACTTTATATGCACAGACTTGCTCAAACAAACTCCATCACTGGTGGTAAATCCATCTAGAAAATTGAACTAATGAGTCTCAAGTCGATGATGAAAAACAACTACATCCACTTTCACTTGTCTATTTCTTTTAACACATGATGCCAGTTAAGGAAGTTGCCTCAGTCGTACGTCCCCACTTAGGCCTTAGTCATATAGGCCTATAGACTGACCAACAACAATGTGGCTACCTCCAGTTGTTATTTTAAAAAGTGGGGGACGAGTTTCCAGCAATGGTTAGCATGAAATTGGTCACAAAGAAGCATATGCCACTATACCGAAAACATTGTCGCAAGTAGATTGCTAATAGCACAAAAGGCAGTACTTTTACTTTGAAGGCACATGTTCTCTTATTATGGTTTGTATTGCACTTCTCAGTTTCACTACTACCTGGTGAGTAGTTTGCGAGTGTTTCAGTAGTACATACTTCTGTAGTGCTCTTCTGGTTAAGACCACAGCCTTTATTTGTCTGAGTGTTGTCATAAAAAGCAAATAACGAGCGAAAGTGCAGTTGTGGCTCAGTTCAGTAGCCAGCTGGGTGTCATCTTAATGGTAGGGTAACCAATAAGAAAGTGTTTGATGCATCTCACTTCAGACTGCACAAAAGGTAAATTTTTGATTTTTTTTATTCCTTTTTCCTCGTTCCTCTTTTTTTTAAACAGTTGTTTAGTTACCAATGTCATGTCACCTTTTTAATGGCTGAATCCATAATTACAGATGGAGGAGTAATTGTATCTCATGGCCAGAGTTTTTAGAAGCCTAGCACTTCCAAGGTATAAGGTCATGACCGATGTTAATAACTCATTAACTCTTAAATTTTGGGGATCACTGCATTGTTTTTGAAGCTTGTCACAAGAGCTCAAGAGCAGCACATGTAGTTTGTGCATTGCAGTGGTACTGAACACACGTGTGCACCCCTTGATACCAAAGGGAAATATGCCACTGCTAAAATGCAGCTTATACACAATAATTTGTATATTAACAAGGGAAATGTGCTTGTAACTATAGATTTGACAGAAAACTACCAGTCCATGATATAATCTCAGATCCACACATATAGAATGTATCTTTATACTATTTATTTGTGAATGTTGAAATGCATGGAAAATGAGAATTGGAAAAAACTTTCTTTGCCATGTTTGGGGACTCTTTTGCTCCAAGTGGAGCAAGACATTACACCAAAACATAGGATTCAGCACATAAATGGATATACTAAAATTTTATTGTTGTCAATATAACTTAAATTCATGGTTTAAATGTCAAGAAAATACAATAATTGCTGGGTTTTATTCCTACGCCGTTTCCATTCCACCAAAACAAAAATGGAAACAAAATGAATTTGAAACTCCAACCACTCGTGCTAGTTTCAACTCATGGAAAAAGAAAGCACATGACCTGCTAATCAGTATTTCTGCTCCTGAGAAACCTGCCAGAAAACCATAATATTGGCTTATGTTTTTGTAATTTCTTTTTATATGACATGGGGAAAAATGAGGAGAAAATCTGGTTTTAAATCTTATGTATGTGATGTCCAGAACTGGCAAGTCGATCGAGAGGAGAAGCACTAAAAGGAGGAGGAGGGGTCTCACATAGCTGAGCCATATTTCAAGGAAACAGAAAATGAAAGGACTTAATGTGCAGTTCAACTTTTATTGTTTTGAGAGCAGAAACAACTGAACAGCAACTCAATTTAAATATCCAGTTAACTGTATGGTCCATTTCTAGTATTTCTTAGCTCTTTTGTGGTCGTTTTAATAAAAGAATTGAGCAATTACTTCCACTTCTCTTTAATGTCTGTATTCTCTGAAATGAAAACATGAAAATATTCTGCACTGCTGTTTTAAAAGTATGCACAACTAATGACTATCACCTGAAACATATGCAATCATATGTGCTTACTAGGGGTGCAACGATACTGGTATCGATATTGAACCGTTCGATACAGTGCTTTCGGTTCGGTACGCATATGTATCGAACAATACAAAATTTTTAATTTATTTTATCAACTTTCCTTCTGACGATGCTGTCTGTGTTGAGCGCTCAGTGGATCTGCGCTCGACAGTGCAGCCTAGGCGGAGTAGTCGAACGCAGATTCACTGAGCGCAGGGCAAGCTAGCGAGACAGAAGTTAAGCTCTCCTTGCAACATGGCAAATTGAACCTCCCCCACCCTCATTCAGATCTGGCGTTTGGAACTATTTTGGTTTTCATGTGACGTATGACCCTGAAGGTAAGCGTGTCATGGACTAAAGTAAAACAGTATGTTGGATGTGCCACGCAATGCTCAATTACATGGGTGGGAGCTAGTGTGTTAGCGCAGTTAGCTCGTTAACGTGTTGGCCGTCCAGCCCCATGCACGGGCGATCCGCGGTAGCTCGTTAACGGAGATTTGCCGTGTTGTGGCGTTAACGTCATTTCAACGAGATTTACGCTGACAGCACTAGTGGGAACACAACGAATATGACTGCACATTTACTCCGACATCATCCTAGTGCAAAGACAAGTGGAAGCAGACAAAAACAACAAGCAGGCATGCTACAAACTTTACCCGAGTCATTTAGACAGCCGTTAGCACATGATTCTCCTTATGGGGACCTGATATGTTTAATATGCTGCTGAGAATATAGCCCAGAAGAAGCGTATAGTATAGCTTTTATTTTGGAAAGAGCCATTTCTCTGTAATAAACTCTCTTTTCCAAAGATGAGTGATTCCTCAATCAGATACAGGGCTAGCGATTTTTCCAGTCGGGCTACCAAAATCTATCTCTGCCCTGCCCGTCGGCTATTGTAGGAAGGAAAAATATATGTCAATGCTTTTGCATTCTTTCGGAAATGTAGCTGGGTAATTATGTCATTGGCATCGGTGAGCCACTGTCAATATGTGACATATTGAAATCGCGTTTGAATTTGCGCTTGTTTTTTGCTTTCACTTTGCAATCGCGCGAACTGTGTATAGAGAGCGACAGCACTGATTGGTGAGTGATGATAATTTGCGCACCAATTCCTCTGACATCGTCTTATCAATCGTTAGCTTACTATGCAAACATGACAAGTGAAATCTCCCGCAGCAAGCTTAAACATGTGAGAGGTTGATCGCGCAGAGAATCGCTGAGCGTTATGTGAGTGCGTGTGTAAAAGCAGCAGGATATATATTGTAGCGGGTCAGGGCTGTTCGGGGTTCTGTTTGTACAGTTATGTTTTGTTTATGTTGCCATAGTGACGGGTGACGCCCTCTCGCTGCGACGGTGTGTCCTTCCGGGGTCAGAGGGCGCCCTGTGTGTTTGTTGTTGTTGCTGTGCTGTTGCCGCGCTGAGCAGTTAGCTAGCGGCAGTGTTCTTCTGCAGATGTCAATAAACGGCTGTGCTCCCTGGCTAGCTCACGGGAAGCAAGACCAAACGACACCTCCGTCTCCTCCTTGTCTGAGCTCGCCACATTGGTGTCAGAAGTGGGATGATGGTGGCACCCCATGTTCTGACCCGAGTGACTTTTCCCGGGTGCGCCAAAAGAAGGCACCTGGACATTTGCAGGACTTTGTGTGGGGTAATGGGGTCGTCGGGGACGACTGACCCCTTAGGTGGGGGCTATGTAGCGGGTCAGGGCTGTTCGGGGTTCTGTTTGTACAGTTATGTTTTGTTTATGTTGCCATAGTGACGGGTGACGCCCTCTCGCTGCGACGGTGTGTCCTTCCGGGGTCAGAGGGCGCCCTGTGTGGTGTTGTTGTTGTTGCTGTGCTGTTGCCGCGCTGAGCAGTTAGCTAGCGGCAGTGTTCTTCTGCAGATGTCAATAAACGGCTGTGCTCCCTGGCTAGCTCACGGGAAGCAAGACCAAACGACACCTCCGTCTCCTCCTTGTCTGAGCTCGCCACAATATTTTAGTTCTGCTGAGCCAAATAAGACAGGTCAGGGTGAAGAAGTGACAGCCAAAGAAAAGCTTACCACAAAACGGAAAAGTTATGACAAATCAGACTATAAGGCAAAAAGAAAGTGCAGCTTTATGGTTTCATGGACTGTGGCTGCAATATGACAAGCGAAATAACCAGGGCTGCACATAAGTGGTCCGCAGGTGCGCATTCGCTGTCAAAATAAAAAACGGGCACAAGATAAGAAGTTGCAACGCGTGTTTGCATACATAAGATTTTCAGGAGGAGGACAGACATTTGTTTAGAACTCTTAAAGATGTCGAAGAAGCAAGCTCCTTTAAGCAATTACTGTGATGTTCCTCCACCTCCAAAGAAATGTCAGAAGGAGTCCGAACCACAAAAGAAGCACGTATTCTCGGAAAAGTAGTTGCAGGAGGTGAGCTGGCTTCAAACAAATGATGAACGCACAGAGATGTGGTGCGGAATGTGCCGTGAAAATTTAATAAATGACAAATTAAAAAGGCATGAACATTTTTTTTGTATCGAAAAAATATCGAACCGTGACACCAAAGTATCGAACCGAACCGTGAATTTTGTGTATTGTTGCACCCCCAGTGCTTACATATTAGCACATTTGTAATAACCTCATAGCTTGCTTTGTTTTGAAGACCGTCAGTCCTAGAGAGAGAAAAAATCACAGAAAGTATTTGGTGTCTCTTTTTGATGTTGCATCTTTGAAATTGTTATTGTGGTTGTTTTATGAACTTCTGTTTATCTGGTTTTAGTTGTTCTAACAGTCTTTTTACGTCCTTAGGCTTCCGCAATCTGCACCTTGATGACCAGATGACTCTGCTGCAGTGCTCCTGGCTCTTTCTCATGTCTTTCAGTCTTGGCTGGAGGTCATACGAGCAGTGTAATGGCAGCATGCTTTGTTTCGCCCCTGATCTTGTCATCAACAAGTGGGTAACAATCACAGCTGTTCTAATATTTGAGCAGTTTTGTTTTTCCATTTGCTCATTTTACAGTGTTAGTCTCACTTCATCATTTGACTTACAAAGTTAACCATTTATCTGTGACTCAGCTTTGTGACTCAGTATAGAAATCAGGTCAGAAGGCTGAGGGATAAAGTCACATGTAAATGAGAATTTGCTGTCTAACAATGAGAATATGGTTATAGTTTTTGCTGAAATCTAAACTCCAGTTCTGTGTTTTATTATGAGGGACGTGGGAAAGGGTGTTCGCTAGTTTTTGCTGATCGCCAAGCTGTGTAGGCTGCTTAACAGTTCATCCAGTTTGTATGTTAATCTTCTTAAGAAGCAGACATGAGCCCAGGACTGACCTTCTCACCTAATTTTCAGAAGCAACAAAAAGGCCCCATGAATAAATAAGCTAGGCCAGTACATCAGCTATTATTGCCACGGTTCGCAGGTTCCTGGTCCAAATTCACTTTTTCTGAGGCAAACTTCATAAACACAAAAAACCTTGATTAAGGCAATGCCGAAAAAGGGGGAAAAATAAAAATAATAATAAATATTTAAAACCATTAATCCTGCAGATAGCACACCCAGGAACACAGTATGACTCAACAAGGAACAAATACAAACTTAGGTTTTTAATATACACAGGAGTTAATCAGGGAGAGTGGAAACGCCAGGGTAACAAGACACGGCTGAAACTAACTAAGACATAAACGGATAAACGGAGACATAAAAGGCAACAAAACTAATATCAAAGCACATGGGGACTAATAAAATAAAACAGGAAGTAACTAAATAGGAAATCATATACAAGAGACAATGACTAGGGAGGCTAGAAAAAAATAAAGTATAAGGAATCAAATATCTGTAATAATAGTCTGTAAACACTTCAAGAGTTACACTACTCAAGTAATTCAAAAAAATACAGGAACAACTGCATTATGAACTATACTGTAAATAATTTTCTATGCCACAGAGGCAGGGCTCAGGTTAGTCTGCAGTATGTTGATTACATAGCCTCATTTTTTTTTTTTTGCCACTTGCCATTTATTTGTAACAGCAAGTGACTACCCCTCCCTGAGTCTGGTCTCTTCCCATTAATAGGGAGCTCTTCCCTCCCACTATTGCTTGCTCATAGGGGATCATATGATTGTTGGGGTTTTCTTTCTTACAGTAGAAAGCAAATTCAGGTAAATAGAACTGAACTATTAAGCTATTTAAATACCTGCTGGGATTTCTGAAAGACCCATCCAGTTGTTCTACATTTGTAAACAGTGCTAAAAACATCGACATCTTGCAAACAGCTCAACCTTTTTATTGGAAATGGTTAGAAAGACAGCCCTGAGCTGTTTGCAAGATGTCGCGTCCAAAAACTCCAGAGAGGAGTAAAAAATAGATATGAAATGTGAAGGAGTCATTGCCGATGGCACTGCAGTTGGTCAGAAAGAGTAGACAGTGCTCAGCCCAAGGCTGTGTATCAGGAGAATGTGCTGTATTGATTTTCTAAGAAAAAAGTAATGTGGGCTGTGTGTTAGTGGAAGTGAGGTGTGAAAATCCATCATGACTGATTTTAGAGTCTGTATTTCTCCTGCAAGGATGTAACACATCCCTGCCAGGGCTATTTATTGGGAATTGAATAACAGCATGAGTGAAACAGCTCCAACTCTAACCTGCGTGTCTCTTTTAATTCTGTTTTCTTCTGTTTCTTGTCTTCACCTGCTCTACATTTCCTCTCCTCTCACAGAGATCGCATGAAGCTGCCCTTCATGACTGACCAGTGCGAGCAGATGCTGAAGATCTGTAATGAGTTTGTCAGACTGCAGGTGTCCTACGAAGAGTACCTGTGCATGAAGGTGCTGTTACTGCTCAGTACAGGTAATGGAACACAATTCACTTAGAAAAATGACAGCAGTGTTTTTCAAAAGTCTCTCTGCTGGACTGGAAAAATCACTTTTTATTGTATCTACTGTGTTATACAGCTGCAGCTTTTTTCCATTTCCTTGCAATTTGTCACAGTAGGGCTGTTCTGGTCATGTTCCTCTTGATAAATGCGCAGAGGATTTTGATTGCTGCTGCTAAAAGCCACAAATTTCATTACTTATCAGTAATGCATCGCCTTTGTAGCAAAGATTCAACAGGGTGCTGGAAACATTCCTCAGAGGTTTTGGTCCATATTGGCATGATAGCATCACGCAGTTGCTTTAGATTTGTCAGCTGCACATCCATGAGGCAAACCTCCTGTCCCACCGCATCCCAAAGGTGCTCTTTTGGCTTGAGATTGATGACTGTTAAGGCTATTTGAGTACAGTGAACTCACTGTCTAATTCAAGAAACCCATTTGAGAAAATCTGATATTTGTGACATGGCATGTTGTCCTGCTGGAAGGAGCTATCAGGATTGATCATAATATGGTCATTAAGGGATTGGCATGGTCAGCAACAATACTCAGGTATGCTGTGGTGTTTAAATAATGACCAGTTGGTACTAAGTTGCCAATTGGGCCAAGAAAATATCCTCTAACTTCTACCACTGATACAAGATAGGGTGTATCCATGCTGACTTGTTGTTTACACTAAATTTTGAAATATCACATCAGAAATCGAGGCTCATCAGACCAGGCAGTACTTTTCCAATCTTCTATTGCCCATGCAAATTGCAGCCTCAGTATCCTTTTCTTAGCCAGCAGGAGTGGCACTTTGTGTAGTCTTCTACTGCTGTAGCTCATCTGCTTCCAAGGTTTGATGTGTTGTCCATTCAGAGATGCTCATCTGCACACTTTGCCTGTAATGAGGGCTAATTGAGTTACTTTTGTCTTCCTATCGGCGCAATCTGGTCATTCTCCTCTGACCTGTGGCATCACCAAGGAATTTTTGCCAAGGGAACTGTCACTCACTAAATATTTTCTCCTTTTTTTGATCACTCTCTGTAAACCCTATAACAGAAACATCCTAGCAGATCACCGGTTTCTGAAATATTCAGATCAGCCCGTGTGCACTTGCATCACCTTTTTTCTCCCCAATTCTGATGCTCAGTTTGAACCTTCAGCAGGTCATCTATATATGTAAATACATTGGGTTGCTGCTGTATGATTGGCTGGTTAGATATTTGCATTACAAGCAGATCAACTTGTGTACCTAATGAAGTGGCCGGTGGTTGTATGTTTTAATACTGCAGTTCAAAGATCCTGTTTAAAATCACTGCTGACAGCAGCAAATGGTAAGCATGCCGCAAGTGTCTACACTGTCAGAAGCATAACGGCAGAACAGTAACATTCCTGTCAGCAATAATTTAAACCCAGTCTGCTGACAAAAGCACAGTAGATGTTTTGTTCTGTAGATGCATTATTATGTGTGTCTGTCAGTGCTCGCTGGACCTTTATGTCACTTTACGTTCACAGGGTGTTATGTACCCTAAACCATTTGAAGCACTTGTCTTGCATTTTCTTTAACTTCATTGTTTGGTTTAAAGTGTATCTTAAGTGTTTACTTTCAGGGGTCTTCTTCAGTTCTGAAATTCAGCGATCGAACATGGAGCCATTTCTTTTTAGAAGGACACATGAATTCAAAATGCCACAGAAAAGACCGGGTGTTACTGTTACTATCAAAATATGCAAGTTTGATGTTCTTTTGACATTCTTCACCAATCTGCGATGTAACAATGTGATATTTTCTTTTAGATGCCTTCTGTTAAATGTTACTGCTCTGTGAAAGTGCAGTCCTTTCACAGATCGTACCTCGGTAGAGAGTCATTTAATTTCCGTCCTAGAGGCTCCACTGAGAGTTGAATTAGTATAACTTTTGTGTTTCTTATCTCACTGAATAAAAACAGTTAGCTTTTTTATTACTGCTGTTTAATCTTCTTTTATGTACGATTGTCCAGTGAAAGCACATTATTTAAAAAAAAACAAAATTAATTTTCTTTTTTAACAATTTAGTTTAGCTAAAATTGGATTCAGAAGACATTTTTACAAATTGTAAATTTATTCCAACTGCATTTTATTTGCTGTGTATAAATTAGTAAAGGCTGTTAAAGGACAGACTCAAATAGGCAGTGTTCATCAGGCCTCTCTTTATTTAATGTTGGAAGAGGTCAAATAATGAAAGCTGTGGGTTACCAATCAGTAACGTAACCCTACATGCTACACAAGGAAACAGTATCACTAAATCAGACCTTTCCCACTTATTTCAAATTTTCTTGTCTGTGATGGAGAGCATTATTCTCAGAGAATGGCGAAGAAGAGGATGCACTTCAGAAGCAATTAGCTTGTTATGCAGGAGGAAATTACATTTCCATACTGTGCACCGGCTGCATTTTTGTACCTTAGAGCGATTTCCATCCGTTTCCCTCAGGGATGGAAATACTATTAGATGGGACAACTTTGGTTTGAGCTGCTTTTATCCATTCTCGCACACATTATATGGAATTTCAAGTCACTTATAAGACTATTTGATATACTGTCATATTTAGTTAAATATAGAGAATAGAGAATGCTCAGCAGCGTGAAAGCACCACAAAACATAAATAACTCAATAAAGAATTTATAGGTCATAGAATAAGAAAACACAAGTTGTTTAATGAGTTTGCAGTGCCATTGTTGCCTAGCACAATCACTGCAAGTCACTGCTAAACTGTGCGGCTCACTGCCTGACACCAGACTGACAAGAGTCCACAATGTGCTGATACAACTGTATTGCTTTTCAAGTTTGAAGTTTTTGCTTTTCAGCAGTGACCGGCACAGCGAAAGTCCTCAGTGTGTCCTCTTTAATAGATCATTTGAACGCAGAGAATCATTTTGAAGGGTATTCAAATGTCCTGATTTAAAAAGCAAAAGTGACACCTTGCACAGCAGCTGGTACTACTTTTAACCCCAATTCCAAAACTTTGGAACATTTTAAGCAAACTGCAATTATTTTCAAATCTCATAAATCTATATTTCATTTATAACAGTACACAGAAAACATACATTTCTTTACCAAAAAATAAAATAAGGTCATTTTGAATTTGTTGGCAGCAACAGCTACAACAGCTTAGTACCATGACTGGGAATAAAAAGAGCATGTTAGAGAGGCAGAGTTTCTCAGAAGTAAAGAAAAGTAGATGTTCACCAGTCTGCTAAAAACTTTGTCTACAAATTGTGGAATAATTTTAGGAAAAAGTTCCGCAATGTAAAATTGCGAAGACTGTAGGATATCTCAAAGAATCTCATCATCTACAGTACATGTGCAAGGGACAAGGCCAAAAATCAATATTGAATGCCTCTGATCTTTGGCCCCTCAGGCAGCACTGCATTAAAAAGCAGCTAAATTATGTCATGGAAATCACCGCATGGGCACAGGAACACTTCCAGAAATCACTGTCTGTCAATACAGCCATCCGCAAATGCAGGTTAACGCTCAATCATGCAAAGAGGAAGCGATGTGTGTGATCATGATCCAGAAACGCTGTCATCTTCTCTGGACTAAAGTTTATTTAAAATGGACTGAGGAAAAGTGGAAACTGTTCTGTGGTTTGAAGTTCTTTTTGGAAAATTGGAGACCATCCTGTTTGTCATCAGAACTCAGTTCCCAACCTGCATCTCTGGTATGGGGGGGTGCATTAGACCCTCAGGCACTATCAATACTGAGAGGTGTATACAGGCTTCAGGGTATATGATTCCATCCAGATAACCTCTTTTACAGGCAAGGCTGGCATATTTGAGCAAGACAATCCTAAACATCAGCTGTTAAAAAGCATGGCTTCATAGTAGCAAAGCCTGCCTGTAGTTCAGCCCTTTAAGCAACTGAAAACATTTGGCACCTGATGAAATGAGAAATATACTCTGTTGTCAGTCTTCTCTGATCCAGAAGAGTGTTGATCATTTGTGTCTGAATGCAAACTTCTCACCTAACTCTTTTTGCCACACGAACAGCAGACACAGACCTGATAAGGATAAATTCTTTGATAAAAGCTTTATCTTACTTTTATGTGTGTGTGTGTGTGTGTGTTTTTTTTTATTTATACCTTCAGAACCCCTTCCTATGTTAACCACTAGCCTAACAGAGCAACAGTGTCCTTGAAGCTTACCAGCTCCAAGTGAACATGGGAAAAAATCGTATTTTTAATTTTTTTTTTAAATGATACTGATATATCGCTCTGTGTTGTCTCTGTGTGTGTGCAGTACCAAAAGATGGCCTGAAGAGTCAAGCAGTTTTTGATGAGATCAGGATGACCTATATCAAGGAGCTGGGAAAAGCCATCGTCAAGAGAGAGGAGAACCCTAGTCAGAACTGGCAACGCTTCTACCAGTTAACTAAGCTACTTGACTCCATGCAGGAGGCAAGTGAAACACACACACACGTTTAAGTGTTTTTAGGCTACTTTGTTTCATATAGCATTTTCTTGATATTTATCCCATAGATTGGCTTTCTTTGTTTTTTTTAATACCAGCCAGGTCTTTTCCACCTAAAGAATACACTCATATTCTGTGTAGTGCATTAAGTTTCAATCAAGTTAGTTTTTAGCACTCTCCCCTTCTGCCTCTCTGTAAAAACTTGTTGCAGACGTAAAGATCTTGCATTTAGAACCTACTCCACTTTAAGGGAAATCCTTTTAAGTAAAGTGAGTAAACAACTCTTACTAACCTCTTTGTGTCTTAACCAGATGGTCGAGGGTCTTCTCCAGATCTGTTTCTACACCTTTGTGAATAAAACCCTCAGTGTGGAATTTCCGGAGATGCTGGCAGAGATCATTTCCAACCAGATACCAAAATTCAAAGATGGAAACGTCAAAGCTCTGCTGTTTCATCAGAAATGACTGCCTTAAATTGTGAATCAATGCCTTAAATCCTGCCCTGCACATATACCTCTCCAGGGGCCCCTAGCTTACATATCCTGCCTCCCTCATCGCTCTGATTCAGTTTCTCAGTTTTTCCTGGGCCTCCTCTAGAAATTCTGCCACGCCCCTTCGGGGCTCAGCCATTCAGCCTAATCTTGGAGCACAATACCTGTGGCCTCAAGCCCCCATCCCAGTCCTAGTCCTGCCATAGTATCCTATAACCGACCTATAGCCCTTCCTCTTAGTTGGACTATGAATGTCTCTTGGGGTGGATGCATTTTGGGCAATTTTTTTTTCAGTCCTCCCTCACCTACTCTACACCCATAGCCCTGTGCTTGTATTTTTAATGCTTTCTTACAATGGCTATGTGCCTCATATTAATTCAAGCCTCTAGTATTTTACTGCAGTTTTCACAGAGAAGCTAACATATAGAGTACAAACACCTTTTCCTCCAAGAACATTACACCTTGTATACTTTGCAACTTGAAAGGATTAGCAGTTCAAGCCTAGTGTCCCTCCTGCTGTGAATTACTTATCACTTCAGAAATTATTCAAATCACAATTCTACACAAGACCACTGAGAAAAGAAATCAGCTAGAGACATATTCTCTATTTATTTTATGCAGGCACACAATTCAAGTCACATACAGAAGCAAGAGACACACACGCACACACTCACTCAGCCAAATGTTTACACAGGATGTACCTGAGGGAAAACCAGTGCCTTTTAGTTTTTACGCTCTTCATAGCCATCCACTGTAAGCTGTAGGTTTTTTTGCATTAGAAGTTGATGTCGACATCTTTCCACATGATTTGTCTGTTTCTCTATTTCCGCATTGTAATTTCTGTTTTCTATTTCCAAGCTGTCATTTCAGTGTTCTTAATGTGGAAAACTCTCCCTTTTGTTCTTATCTCCTGTTCTGCATGTAGGAACACAGCCTATGGTACAGATAAGTAATGTTAAATGTTTAGTTTTATCACTTTGCAAAAAAAAAAAAAAAAGTCCCAAAACAAATTTTTTTGATATTTTATTATCCACGTGAAGTATATTAGATAAATTTGCTGCCTCTCCCAGTCAGTATTAAATTCTGTTAAAAGTTTACCCAGCGTATACAATGAATGCACCTACAAATAGGTTTTTTTTTCTTGCTTAAGCTTCAGCCAGCTTTGATCTAAATGGGTACTGCTAAAATTAAAATTAAAGACACATTTAATGTTTTGTACTACTTGGGAGCAGACTGACTTAAATTTTAGGATTTCTATCTTTAAAAAGTTTTTTATGCTTTAATTGCATTTGGGAAAAAAAGTGTTTTATAACCAAAATGCATTTGAAAAAGCCATCCGAAGTACCAAAGGGCCTGCTTCAATATGTCAGACCCCAAAAGGTACTACCATTAGGATTGTTATCATTTTTTCATTTTTCAAAGTAAAAGGTTTAACTGGCTCAAAAATGGTAGCAACATAGCACTCATGATAGGAAATGAAGGCATAACATTGATGGTTTCCCTCAAGATACCATTTTGATTTAATATTTCCCTTTAATTACCATTAGCTGAATGTACTTGCAAAATCAGGACTTATTATATGGAGCTGCTGTGCCAACATTGTGAAAATACAAAAATATATTTGTTTAAAATAAGATATATATTTATTTTGTATACTGGACGTGAAATGGATACCCATAATTGATGAAACCTATGTTTTAAAAACATTTCCCCTCTAAAGCTCAAAACGTTGGTCTATTGATTTGTGAATCCAACCTCAGGAAGTGAGTGATTACTTCACATGGATGCGCTCTACTTGTTCCTAATGTAATGGAAAAACCCGTTTTGTTTTGGGTTTTTTCTTTTCTGGAGATGTGACAGAGTACTTCTGATCTGACATTAAGTGGTTGTTGTAACTTTGCTTCAGGGTGCTCATTTATTTACAAAAATAATTACAAAAAAAAAAGGATTGTTCAGTGTCACACCTACACCAGCTTAAAGTACTGATTGTTATCATTTAGCCAATTGTACGATAAACCTTTTTGTGATCAACAAAAAAATTGTATTTTTGAATTTTCAAAATACATTTGTAATGTGAAAATCCATACCAGCTTGTGTGATGGCCAAAGCAAAATGCAGTGCAGTTGTATGCTGGCTTCTGCCGGAAGTGTTAAAACAAAATGCCCTTCACCACCTCCTGTAGAGTACAGTTACTTTCCTCCGTATGTGTCTTATGACTGTCAGGCCTCTCTGCCTAAATTTCAACTGTACAGATTTTCAGCTGTTTACTCTGAACAGTACTCACCCCTCTGCTGCACATAACTCTGAATGCCAATTAGCAGAGACCAGGTAAGCAGGTTGCCATAGAGACTGGTCATTTGTATGTTAGTTACGGCTAACAGCACAGTGGGCACTGGAAGCATACAAGCCACTGCTGAATAAGAGCCATCTTTTCTTCTTCTTTTTTTTCTTTTAGGGGTGGTCACTCGCTTCAGGGTTGTTTCATTGACAGTGCAGGCTTTCAGCTCCACCTTCTAACTGTGCTGCGTGTCCTTGTGCTGTAAAAAAAACATGGGCTTGTTGCTGCTCGCATCACTGTGTGTTGATTATTCTAGAGAAAATTTGACTAAACTATTTGTTTGGATAACTTTGAGATGGTATTACAGTTGTTCCAAGGTGGTGGTGCTTCAGAAAACCAGCTTTAACATGTAGATGTAACCATATTGATGCTTATTTCTGAATGGCTATAGGCGCATATAGCAATGCTAGCATATCTAGTGCAATGTAAACATCATCTAAGACTACAGAACATTTTTGCATTTCACCTTCATGCTCGATTAAAGGCCTTGCGAAAGGGAGCCAGAGAGCCATAGAAATAAGATTTCACATCAGGAAATAGATAAACCCTTAACATATATCGATGCTTTTAGAGATTGATCTATTGTAAAAATGATATTTTCTGTGATTTTGATTACATCGGCTTGATCCTCTTTGATATGACTAATTTTGCTCAGTCGTTTTTGTACATTGAATGAGTCAAGAAAGTAAATATTTTTCTGTTTGTTGGTTTGTGTTTGATAAAGGTAGATGTGTTAAATCCATAAGGAAGTGTTGAACATGTTTGTCTTGTGAAGTAAATGTAAATTCTACGAGTCCATGAAAAAGTCTACATGAAAGCTCACTGTGTTTTTGAAGATAAGGAAATGAGGGAGTGGGACAGAGAAAGACTGGTGGAGATTTATATAAGAGTGACCAAAGCAGAGGAGAAAACAAAAATTAACAAAAGAAGTATTCAAGTTACATTTTGAGTAGCACTTACTATCCAACTTCTAGTACTTCTTGTTTTATTTTAAAGATGTCTTTTGTAAAGGTCGTGGCTTTGGACCCCATGTATTGTTCTGTGAGGATTTACTGGTCACTTTAAAAAGAAAATTTAAAATGTTGACTCTCCATATGATAGTAAAATTTACCAGAGCCTGACAGAATTGCACTACCCTGATATTGTTTGATATAATCTATTTTGTATAAAATACATGCAAATGTTATCTTTAAAGATTAAGGGCAGATCATGTTTCACTGGTATATATGGCTATGGCTTTCACTAAAGTCTGTTTTCTTCGTATTTCAGTTATGTAAATGTAATCCAATGTTTAAAAAAAATACAAACCATTAAAAAAAACAGTAGTTTGTATTACTTCTGTATTACACCCTTCCTGTAGTCGGTGTCAATAGTTTCACCTATTTGATTAAATGTTGAATTAAGTTATGTGTCGTTCTCTGACATTGGGTTTGACATCGAGAGTGGAAATTTGGAAGAACCGATTGCTCTTTAGTTAAAAGCATCTTACACAATAAAGTCTCCTGTTTTTCAACACTCAGCTACATGGATTTCATTTTTTTGACTTGGAACAGAGTTAAGGAAAATAAGCTTCCTTTTGATATACCAAAACAGGTCTCACTGCCCAATCTGGAATCATGTACTGGAAACATGATTTGATAAACATACACGTGAAAACATGCATACGTCCTTTCACTGCCACGGATTCCTTTTATGTGTTAGATTAAATTTATTGAACCATTATTATCTGACATTTTTACGTTACCAGTACATGCCCATGATTTTGTTAAGTCTGAGATTTTAGTCTGTTGTTAAGTGGTTGCTAGCCAAGCCGATGGCATAGTAATATATCACGCATAATGAAAGTTTGAGGTTATGAGTTAGATATTTCTGCCATGAAAATAAAATTATACAATGCTTTTATAAGCTGTTCCAGGTGCATAAACATTGCAAAGGGTTTATTTTAGTCAATTGGATGGTGGTTGCTTGGCAACATGACTAGCCTTAAAATGTGATAGATAAGACCCTTCAGGGGGACGATGTGCCAATTTTGGTTGCTCAATTCCTGATCATGTAAGACACAAACATGGAAACAGACTTTGTGTTGAGGCCACACTTTATCTTGCTAATTTGTATACCAGTATATTATCAGACCTACATAATGTTAAAAATGTTTAGCCTGACTTTTACAGAACTACTAAAAATAATATTTTAGCTATTAGTTCATTTTTATGAGTTATCTTTTTCAAAATTAAAGAAACAGTTATATTTTATTTTTATTTTGCTCATTTCACATTTTTCCTTCTTTTTAAAGTTATGTAACTAATTAAATTAAACGCACACACACATTTATGTGTAGTGTATTGTGTTCTATGAATGTGCAGAATGAAGTCGTCCCATTCCTTCCTTTCACAATAAAATTCCCTGAATATGAAGTGTGGCTTCTGTGCCTAATATTAGTGGAGAGGTTTAAACTTGCATAGTTGTATAAAGTAACTGTAGAAATTAATATAAACTTGCACTACTATTCTTTAAATTGTGAAATAGTTATTTACTATTGTTATTTTAACTATTATTGTTATTATTATTATTACATGTTTTTAATATATGGTATGTCCAAAAGCACAAACACTGGTAATTTCATTAGACACACCTTGCTAGTTCCAGGCTGGATCCCCTTTTGTCTTCTAAATTTACCTTAATTCTTCCTGGCGTAGCTCTAACAAGGTGCACAGACCTCTTTGTAGAAAAAAAAGAAACAAGCCCAAACATACAAGTAAACTATATTCCCAAAAGTTTTTGCTCATCTGCTTTCACACAACTCTGACCTAGAGTGACTTTTTTAATCCTCACGGTTTAATATGATGTTGGCTCAAGCTTTGCAGCAATAACATCTTCAAGTCCCGAGAAGTCCTGACTCGCAGTCTCTGCACTAATTCAGCCCCAAGGTGTTCTGTCAGGTTGAGGTCAGGACTCTGTGCAGGCCAGTCAGGTTCTTCCACACCAAATTTGCTCATCCACGTCTTTATGGACTTTGCTTGTGTGCAGCTGTGTTGGAACAGGAAGGGGTGACCCTAATCCCCAAACTGTTCCCACAAAGTGGAGAACATGAAGTTGTTCAAAATGTCTTGGTTTGCTGAAGCGTTAAGAGTCCCTTTCACTGGAACTAAGGGGCCAATCCTGACAAATGCCCACACCATAATCCACAGGTGGCATCCCTTCACAGTACCACGCTGGAATTCACTGAGCTCCTCAGAGCGACCCATTTTTTCAGAAATGTTTCCAGATCAGTCTGCATACCGGCTGGATTTGGTACACCTGTGGCCATGGAAGATATTGGAACACCTGAGTTCAATAATCTTGATGGGTGAGTGAGTACGTTTGGCAATATAGTGAACATTTAGAGCATGTGTGCAAGAAATCTGATTTTTATGTATGGACTGGGTTGTATTATGTTCTTAAATATGAAAAGAGGCCAGCTGTATCCTTCCTGTGTCATATAGCTGTTATGCTAAGCTAAACTATATGTAAGCTATTTGCCTCCTGATGCTAGCCCCATACATAATGTACTGGTATCAGTCTCTTTGTCTTTTATGAGAAAGAAAGCATGTAAATGCATTTATAAATTAACTAATAAGTGCTAATGAATTAGCCTGCAGTCACGAGTGCTTGAAACTTAAAGCTT